CGCTACGAGGGACTTTTGGTGCCATGAAGGACTTTAATGTCGTAACGGACTTTGCTCCCACGAGGGACCTTGAAACATATTTAACTCATATGAATGATTTTAACAAATGATTTGCAAATCTAATGCACGATAAGCCACGATGCACATAGCAAAGGCCATGCTATGCCATGACGCAATTATCCACAAAACTTCGATATTCCATCACAAGGAACTTTGGTGCCATTAAGGACTTTAGTGCCATAACGGGCTTTGCTACCATGCGAGACTTTAATGCCGCGAGAAACTTTGAAACAAATTTAACTCAGATGAATGATTTTAACAAATGATTTCCAACTCTAGTGCATGATAAGCCGCGATGTAATTAGCAAAGGCCATACAATGCCATGATACAATTATCCACAAATCTTTGATATTCCGCCACAAGGGACTTTGGTGCCATGAAGGACTTTAATGCCATAATGGACTTTACTACCACGAGAGACTTTAATGCCACGAGTGACTTTGAAACAGATTTAACTCATATGAATGATTTTAGCAAATGATTTGCAAATCTAATGCACGATAAGCCGTGATGCAATTAGCAAAGGTCATGCTATGCCATAATGTAATTATGCACAAAGCTTCGATATTCCGCCATAAGGGGTTTTGGTGCCATGGAGGATTTTAGTGTCATAACGGACTTTACTGTTATGAGAGACTTTAATGCAACGAGTGACTTTGAAATAGATTTAACTCAGATGAATGATTTTAACAAATGATTTCGAACTCCAATGTGCAATAAACCGTGATGCAATTAGGAAAGGTTATGCTATGCCATGATGTAATTATCTACAAAACTTCAATTTTCTACCACAAAGGACTTTGGTGCCATAAATGACCTTAATGTCGTAATGGGCTTTACTACCATGAGGGACTTTAATGCCACAAGGGACTTTGAAACAGATTTAAGTCAAATGAATGATTTTAACAAATAACTTCCAAATCTAATGTGCGATAAGCCACAATGCAATTAGCAAAGGTCATGCTATGCCATGATGCATTTATCCACAAAATTTTAATACTCCGCCACAAAGGACTTTGGTGCCATGAAGGACTTTAATGCTGTAATGGGCTTTGCTGTCACAAGGGACTTTAATGTTGCAAGGGACTTTGAAAATTTTAGCTCAAATGAATGATTTTTGACTGAATTTGATGAGGTAATGATTTTTTTTTGAAGCAGTAATGGTTTCTATATCCAGGATGTGTTATGCCATGATGCAAATCATCAAAACATTGATATTATGCTGCTAGGGACTTTGGTGCCATGAAGGGCTTTACTCCGTGATGGAATTTAATGCCACAAGGGACTATGATTCCATGGAGGGCTTTGAAACAAATTTGACTCATGATCAGACACTAATTTCTATTCCATAGGGTGGAAAATGATATGATTATCTGAAAGTTGGATGATTTAAAAAGCATGGTATGATTAACTGGAAAACATAGTTCATCATGTAAATGACTTTCAAATAGAATTTTTAATTAATCAATCAGTTGAGAAGGCACAATGCATTTTTCCTGTAAACGAAATGATGTGTGATTAAAAAAACAACTCCAATAGAGATGATATACAAAATGCCATATTCTGATGATTCAAAATAATGGATATTCAAAGATAGAGTTCCTTCAGGGATTTTTGCCAAACTTGAATAAGTGATATAAAAGCAACAACTTCCTTCTCAAAAAATAATGATCAATATATTTCAAATCTCAAAGACATAAACATTGGATATGAAATGGTTGTTGATCAAAGATTCATATCAAGAAAGGCCCATCAAAAGGGGGTTCCCAATTTGGATGAATTAAAAATGACCACTCTTAAAGAAGAGAACCACTCAATTTTGCACAAAAAAGCTGAGGATTTAACCAGATGGGTGTTGATGGCACACTCAAATGAGGGATGAAGCTAGATTTGCTCAAATTGGATCAAGAGATAATTCTGCCATGCTCCCAATAATTGGTCACTCGATTGTCTTTGATATCCCATTCCCTAATGCATCTTTCTTTTAACAAGAAGATTCTCTCTTTTTTCTTTTTTTTTCTTACAATTTCCCATCAATCAATCTCAACTTCCATGAGATTTGTGAAGAGCCCATCTCCAACGCCATCACCTCTATCCTGCTTCATCTGTATCATCTCCTAAGGCTTCCCCTGTTCCGCGAGCTTCATATGAGTCTAGCCAGACTTAGCAATCGTTAAAGCACGTTCACACCAGGAGGGACTCATTCACCCCCTCTGATTTCAACCTACAAAGTGCGTTGAGCTCACCCGTTTATAGCATCGAATCGACAACCAGGATATTACTCAAGTAACCTGACTAAAACTCTCTTTCTTCTTTTCTTATAGTGACGATTAGAGGTTGGAGAACAGATTGATAGAGTAGGTTCCATCAAGTTCACCCTCGTAGATCTGTTCTTCAGCCCAATTTGACCATGAGTTTGCTATCGACTCCTATGTTCTCTAGATTCGAATGTAATGTTGTTAGGGATCAAGATATTGCCATTTTCTTTTGATCCCTCCCTCACTGTTTTGTTGTTCTTATTTGAAATTATTACCAGTAGGAATGCAGTTGTGATTTTGTTTTATTCTTCTTCTTTATTTGATTGTTCTAGAGATGAAGTTGTAACATGGCGAAATGTGTCTTCTCCTCTGTTTCTTTGTTTTCTTTCTCTTTTTCTATTTGATTACAAAGCATGCACTCTCGACTGTATAGAGTCTTTCCCCACAGAACCTTGGACGGGAGACCTCAGTCCGGTCATTCATTTTCTTTTACTGCTCTGGCTTTTGTCTTTGATTTGGTTACGTAGTTAATTTCTTATTATTGTATTCATGAAAATCTCCAGTTTGCTCAAGTTTTCTTTGTTGTATTTGGCCAGATCTTTCAAATCAATGAACTGATAGAGGTGTCTTAATCTTTGGTTTCATTTGGTTTGATGATATTAAAAGATTTATTAAATCTGGTTTCATTTATCTTTCATTCTAATTCACAAGTTCTATCCATTCACTATTGCTTAGCATGTTTCATTTTATTTTGTTTTATTGTATTTTATTTTACTTTTTTTGACATAAATAATATGCTTATCTTTCCTTTGAGCAGACATCTTAGTAGCTAGATGTTGAATAAATAGCATGATCTTATTGTTTTAGTTTTTCTACCGAATAATATAATTTAGGATTGTCTTTAACATTGTTGTCTACTACTAGAATCCCATGTGGGCCCCACCTATTGGACCTTGGAAAAGTGTGCCTAACCCCTTCCCTCTCCCATCCGAGTCTTAACCAGACTGATTAGTCAATGCCACGGGCTATGGAGTCACTACTAAAATGAAAACGTTTTTGGAAATTATTCCCTGAGGTCCCATCACCTCCATTTCTTAAATTGATGGGTGGTGACTCCAAATCCAAGCTGGGTTGAGTCCTCCGGGTAGATCGTCGTGTTAGGTTCGGGTTTAACATTTAGGGTTTAGGGTTTAGGTTTTGGGTTTTGGATTTAGAGTTTAGGGTTTATAGTGTTCAGGGTTATAGGATTTAGGGTTTGGGTTTTTTAGGGTTTGTAGTGTTTAAGGTTATTGGATTTAGGGTTTAGGGTTTATGATTTAGGGATTAGGGATTTTAGGGTTTAGTGTGTAGGGTTTTGGAGATAATAGTTTAGGGTTTTTTGGGTTTAAGGTTTTTTGGGTTTAAAGTTTTATGGTTTAAGGTTTGGGGTTTAGGGTTTATGGTTTTGGATTTTGGGTTTAGGTTTAGGGTTTTAGGGTTTAGAGCTTAGGGTTTAGGGTTTGGGATTTAAGGTTTATTGTTTAGGGTTGAGGATTTTGGGTTTTGGATTTAGGGTTAGGGTTTAGTGTTTAGGGTTTAAGATTTTTTAGGGTTTCTAGCATTTTGGGTTTAGGGTTTAGGGTTTTTAGGGTTTAGTGTGTAGGGCTTAAAGATTACAATTTAGGGTTTAACGTTTATGTTTTAGGGTTTAGGGTTTTTAGGGTTAGGGTTTAGGGCTTAGGGTTTTAGGTTTTTGGTTTATGGTTTGGGTTATAGGGTTTAATGTTTTAGGGTTTAGGGTTTATGGTTTATAGTTTAGAGTTTAGGGTTTATAGGGTTTAGTGTATAGGATTTAGAGATTATAGTTTAGGGTTTAGGGTTTAGGGTTTAGAGTTTAGGGTTTAGGGTTGTGGGTTTTAGGGTTTAGGGTTTGGGTTTTAGATTCAGGGTTTATGGTAAACCCTAAACTCAAAACTCTAATTGTAAATCCTAAACTTTAAATCCTAAACCCTAAACTCAAAACCCTAAACCAATGACTAAACCTTAAACCCCAAACCCTAAAACCCAAAACACAAAATGCTAAACCCTCAATACCCTACACCTCCAAACCACAAACCCTAAACCTAAACTCTATAACCCTAAACCCTAAACTCTAAATCCTAAACCCTAAATTGTTTTGTTTGTTTGTAAAAAGCGAAATGATGTGGTTTGAGGCGGGGGAAATTTATTTAGACTCAGTTTGGGTAGAGTGAAAATACAAATATGTACAATGCAAAACCTCCTATATGGTATTTCTAAGCCTTGTATTGGCACCATATTAGGGGAGTAAGATTGGAAGCAAATTTATGAGGTCCCCACTTTACATGAGAGAATTAAGGTAGGAGGAAATGGTGCAAACTTTGCATCAGTTTTCCTATGCAAAATTTGCACTGTTAATGAATGAAAATGAGACAAAAAGTGCAAGTTTTGCATCAGGCAAAAGTGTGAATTATAGTCACAAACAAAAAACTGAACTGGGTGCAAAATTTGTATGTAGTTTTGATCTGCATTGCAAACACATGCAGCCTAAAAAAACTTGATGGAATCAGTGTTTTGCTCCCTTAGTCCCTTGTTCATTTCAATAGTGAAATTATGGGAGTTTCATAAAAGTAAGGAGAGGGATTTCAAGCTATACAAGCAATAAGACAGAGGAAAAACATCAATACAATTTAACAGTGAGGATTCTGCATTCAATTTATCACTCCCTAATGTTGCTTTATTATTTCTGATACAAGCACTAATTATACAAGACTTTAGTTTAAACATCTCAAGCAAAACACCCACCAAAGAAGAAAAAAAAGAATAAAATAGAAAAAGAAATATAAGCCTAAAGATAGAAAAATCACACAAATTCACTTGAATGGCTTCCTTCCAACTCCAACAGGCGAAGATATGGTGGAATCCACACTCAAATTACCTATTGAAGGGGTAGACTTATGCTTCCCTGATATCCTTTGAGACATGGAATCCTTGTCTGAGAACAGAGAGCACTTGTTCCACCTCAGAGATCCAATGCTTTGGGTTAAAGGAAAAGATAGTTGTCTCTTTGCTTCTTGACTTGGAGTTGGTGTCCCCTTTTTGAGATTCCTAAGAGTTCTCACTTTTTCTTTAGAAGAAATTGTTGGTGCCATGTAATTGGGCATGGAAAATGGCGGGTAGCTTGTGAGGCTCTCATCATCTCTCAATGTATAAACTTCAGATGCACTTGTTCTTTGCTTTGGATGCTTCACTGGGGTGGAGATACTTGTTTGTGGCGCTCGACTTGATAGAGTTGGTCTAAGTTTCGTTCTTGTGGGCATGGATGATTTTGAAGATCTTGGTGTAAGGGCCTCAAGGTTCTCAAAGCAAAACCTTCCTTGCTTGTAGTTACTTGATTGTGGTAGCGGACTGTGCTCTGAAATGGGGTTGGATGGTGTTAGACCATTCTTTGCAGGAATTGTTTGGCTTTCAAAGAATTGATATCCTGGAAGTTGTCATTCCATCCAGTTCCACCACCAGGGGGGTCCTCCTGATCTGATATCCATAAGGGCTGCATGAGCTGATTTAAGAGGGGCCTTCCATAACTGGTTGAAAGAAAAACAGGCATATTAAACTCCATAAGTCCACAAGTCCTTCAGCAGTTTTAGAGATTAGAACAAGGTTGCAAACTTCGATAATGTAAAACCAGTGTTGACACACTATAACCTAAAGTTGCATCTTAGGCATCTTAGTCTCCCTGCTACCATGAATTCATGGTAAAACCAGTGTTGACAAGCCTGAACCTGAACCTGATTTTTTTGGTAGGTAAGACCTGAACCTGAATGGGTGATTGACGTAGTAAGAAACGATTTAATATGGCCCATCACATTAGAGCAATTCCACTTCAGTTTTGGATTTTATTCAAAGCTATGACTTTGATAGCAGAGAAGCAGAACTGGAGCTGAACAAGTCATCTTGAAATAACACAGATCTCATCTGTTAAGATCTAGGTCATATACTATGATAATATTCTCTTATTCCTTTAAAGCTGAGACATTTTATTAAGGCAGAAAGAACAAATAGGTAGGGACCAGGGGCCTACATCCCCTAACATTTCAGGTCAAGTTACAAGGAAACTGTGAAGGCAATAGTAGGGAGTTCACTTTGGCTGTATTTTAAAAACAGCCTGGGCTGTTTTGGGAATCTCTGCACATGACACCTTAGCTAATTCAAGTCCTCATTTGTCTTTTCAACTAAAAAATATTTGAATATGAATGCCTTTTTACCCTCATTATGAGATGCTAATCACAGCAGTTTCTTTAAACAGCCAAAACAACAAAAAATTTTCTAATAGCATGGCTATATCCATTCAAATCTTGTACATCCTCTCATGTACATCTCTTTTTCTACTCGCTGAAATAATTTCTTTAAAAGAAAGCTTACATTCTAATTATGCATTAAAACAGGAACATTTAGCCGGTTGTACATCTGGGTCACTGCAGTGAAGGAACTAAACAGTTGGACTTTCATTAAAAATCCTAACCAAGTGGAAGATTTAATGGTCTTGAGGAAGAATACCACCCTAACAAAACCATCTGATACATAAAAACATGCTTCACCACCAAATGCATTCTGACATATCTCACCACCACTCCATGACCCAATGAAGAATCCACCATGCCCAAATGCTTCATCAGAGCTAATTTTAATGGGTATTGTGTCTTCTATGTATGTATATATATATATATATATATATATATGTTCCACCCATTGTGCATCCCCTAAACTTTGCATTGATGCACCCCGTTAACCACTCAACCCTCGCCATGCCTGAGTTACAAGTTTTATGGAACCTATTAACCTAAATTTTACTATTTTAGTTTACCTAGTACCAACTTGTATCCTGCTCAAACATTGGAATCTAGTATATAAAATAAAGTAGCTTCTCATCTACAGTAATTATGCTAGATGAATATGATAATTGGGTAAAACACATGGCCATGGGTTTCCTGTTTCTAATTCTGTCACAAGCTCCCTCAGAGAATATAAAATCAAATGTAACAGTGAGACTTAAATGAGTGCTTCAAGGTTCATTTATTTTCCAAATGGTCCAGTCTTAAGATGTTAATAACACAATGCCTTCAACTTCAGTTAAATCCAAGTACTACCTGTACAGATTTATGACTGTTGCAGGTCTTATACAGGCCATTCATTGATATATATGACTGATGCCCATTAAAAATCAGGTACACACATTATATAAAGGTACTAGAAAAAAATAGCAAAAACGTCAATCTAGGGAAAAGCACTAGGCATAGTATATAAAAGCAGAGCAACAAAAATAGATAATCAAAACAGAAATGATAAATACAGATACATTTATTTAGGCATGTGATATTATCTCTTGATATTGAGACATTCAACTTCTCAAACCATATTCTCAGTAAAGTTATCAAAACTGAAAACCTCCACTCACCAGTCTGTTGAGTTGGTGTTTGTTCAAGGTTCCTCCATGTTCTGCATGATTTTCAGTGCTGATAATATACAAGGACAAAGAATGAGTAATGGAACCTTGACAGCTATAATGCTTAAATGAATTAAAGGATTAAAAAACAAACTGGCAACAGACAAAATACCCTTTTGAAAACCACTCATTGAACTGCTCATGGCTGTCAAAAAAGGTGGGCATTATAAAATGAAGAAGGGCCCACAGCTCCACCATGTTATTCTGTATGGGTGTACCAGTCAGAAGCAAAGTGGTTTCTACAATTGAAACTGAGCAATGTTTTCCACCTTATACTGCAAAACTAATGTATTCATCATAACCATCAAGAACACAGGAAATCATAGAGTAAGGGTTATATTTAATGCATATAATGGCAGAGAATTGAAGATTGTGAAATGACGTACTTACTAGATTGGAACCTAACTAATTCTTACCTGTGAATAATTTGCTCATTAACATGTAATAAGTTTACTTTGCATACTAACACAGAGCTAAATAAAACTCATATTTAGATAATAATAATAAGCACCTGATTAAATTTTAAGTATCAACAAAAAAGAAACAAATCCTGCACCAAGACAATCAGGTGAAATTTATCTGCTAATGCACTATAGAAAGGTTATGAAATTAAAATAATCAGAAGCACATCAATCTGGAAGATGAAGTTAAACCTGTTTGAACTTTTAATAGCCTGGGCTTCGTCTAAAACCATATATTGCCATTTCAAACACCAGAAATACTTTTCATCGGATACCAGCAGTTGGTAGCTGGTAATCAATACGTGGAATGCAGACTCCCTATAGGGAAAATAAGAGAAAAGATGAAATAACCAATAAATATATTTTCCACAAGAAAAGGTATGGTACTGATCAAATGCTCCAATTAAGAAGACAACATTAATAAATAAATAAATTTACTGCACAGAAAGTGAAATACAAAATTGAATAAAAATTCTTGACATCCTTGCATAGCCACAAAACTAAATAGTAGCACTGAAGATGGATGCCCAGACAGTTGCAGTATTGGATTAAAGTTAAATATTTTGTTCTTCTGCATTAGAGATTGGAATTATTGAAGTGCTTGGTTGGTAGGTTCATCAATGCTAATCCTGAGGAGCAAGTGGTGTTGGCAAGAATACTAAGGAATAATTTCCAGGGAGGCTGGTTGGGCACTTGGCTCAGAGAATTCAGAGGAGGTATAATTTGTTGTCAGGTGTTATAGATCCACTACTCAATGGAGCACAAAAGTGATATCCATGTCAAAAATCAACCCAACTTGAAGATTGTCAATATCCAATCGATGATATTCTTATTCTTAGGACAAAATGGGGAACAGTCAAGAAGCATGCAGATAATAGATACTGCTCAACTGTTCTAATTAATACTATTTATAAGGATTCCTAGCAACTTCAATCCAACATCTGCTATCCATATATATCTATGTCTGTGCATTAAGTTGGCACCTAGAAAGAAAGGCACTAACAAAATCCCCAGAGGTGTAGGCCTTAGTTATTTTGAGGCTTATGCATTAACATCTCAGCTCTAGTTCTGTTGAAGACATCAAGCTTTGAGTCATTGACCCTCCATGAGGAGTCATGGCTCATGAGTAGGCTCACTAACTTCTTTTTTTTTATTTTTTTTCATAAATAAAGTAGCAGGAGTTGGTAGGATCCTTGGTTTTTGACATACAACACTGAAGTGGTTTTGGGAGGAATTATTTCAGGACACAGAGCTTGCTTGTACACATTGGAGTTAGATGTAACTCTTCCATGTTGCTGCTTTGAGTTCCACTACATACTTTCTTAGTCCATCCACACTTCTATCTTAAACACAACTCCTTTTATATTTTCAACCCTAGAAATCATTTTACAAATCCTATCCATTTAACCTTTCCATTAACTCATACGCAAACATTTTTTTAGTAGTTACTGATCAAAATTTTGTTGTACCAGTAAACTGATGACAAATGTTAATACAAATACAAGGGAGATCCCATCCCTTCGTAAAAGTACAATGGATCTAGCCAAAGTGCTACTCTCCACCACATATCTCATCAATCCCTATGTAGATAGAATTCCATATATCAAAAACCAATAACCACCCTCCTTTTTGGAGTGTTTTTTCATTGCAATTACAGCATATAAAATCTACATATCAAATTGAAATTTAATTTTAGACTCCATAATACTTATATTAATATTATACCTTAGCATCTCATTTCTGTCATGTTAACCTTCACTTAGAATTCCATGGTCGTGCTAGTTCTCTATAGATTGCCTTATCAAAAGAACATAAATAATTAAATCAAGTCAAATATTTAATTTGCACCCAACTGTATTTTATCAAAAGGCTATTGATCTCCATCAATTGCCTTATTAAAAGAATATAATTCTACGACTCCGGTGTAAAAAGAATTAAATATATAGAAAATTATATACAGAGACTGACATGAGATTGAATCTCACTTTTGGGTATGCTATTCTTGTGAGAAAGGCCAAACTCGACCCTGTTTCCCTGAAACAAAACACAAATGATATTTGATGGGCCAAGACAGAGAGAGACGCACAAGAATTTTGAATACAAAAATTGACATCTTACCTCAAGTCACTACAACCGCAAATCTTATGTAAGGTTTGTCATCAAATCACTGTTTTTATTTTACAGCCCCCTGTCAAGCTTGATCGGCCACTACAAATTTAAAAACCTAATGTTAAAAGAATGAGAAAAGTAGAAAACCATATAGAAAAGAATGATAAAACCCTATAGTAACCAAGAAATAAAATAATGGAAAGAAAAATAGAGAAAGAGAGAGACTAACATCAATAGCTTCGGTAAAAGTGAACAAATTATGGAGGGAAGTAGAGAGGGGATCAGGCGAGTGGTAGAAGTCCAAGAAATCAGTGGAGAAAATTTGATTTCTTAGTGATTCTCTTTCAGGTTCAAGTCAAACCTGAAATCGTTGAGGGCCTTGAGGCTAGTCGAACTCAAATCATGAGGTTTTGCAGTTGTAATCATGGTGGAAAATCAAAATTTGGGATATTTGATGGAGGGAATGGAATTAGTTGTGGTGGGAAATGGTTATTTTGAACTGGTTTAATTCAATGTTTTAAAAATTGACTAGAATTGGAACTGCTTTGGCCACCGGTTTTTGGGTCAGTGGTTCAACCGTCCAGTTTGAATGGACAACCCATGGTTGATGCTTTGGTTAAATAAGGGATGGGAAGAAACACTAATTTTTGGGCTATATTGTAATCCATTTTATGGCTTCTACCTGGGGGAGTTGAGAGACTATCTCCTCCTTATTTATATCCACCATTTTTTCTAATTTATTAATGAATTTCAGCTATTAATTTAAAAAAACTTAGGCTAGCCCCTATTACCTAACCTCTAACTGCATTTCTTTTGCTTATTACATGCAATAAGCCCCCCAGTATAACTGGTCTCTGTTCACTCATTTGTTTTGCTAATGCATCAACCAATATGGCTTGACATATGAGTTATCCTAGTTCCCTAGAGAAACCTCTCACTTATGATATGTTGAGATTGTCAAGAGCCTAGGCTGTTGTGAGAAACTAATAAATCCATTACAGGACTATCCACTGCCTGACACTATATTACAATCTTTCATAGTTATGTTTTTCGAATATAGTTTTTTTTATCAACAACATAAACTTTTATTAAAGAATTAATAGAAAGGTACAGAGGAAGTAAGGGGAGAGGTAAAATCTCTTAACCCTCCCCGGGAAAACAAAAAACAGAATTACAATACAACCCAGAACATTTGATCCCATTGCAACCAGCTTATCTTAACCCATTGCAGCTAAATCTCTACATTCTGAGTTAGCCAATTGAAGTTTTCTTTTTCTTTAGTTGGCAAACTTCCATAATCAATTTTCCTCCTTTTGCAACCAGCTTATAACCAATTTTGAAATCTCCTTTTACAATTAACTTTCTGATATTCATATCTTTACCCTTCTTTAACCCTTCTATTGCCACCATAACCCCAGCTCTAAGTGAATCCCTCACACCTATTATAGCCTTTCTAGGAAAGCTCTATTAAGGGAAGGTCTAAAATTGAAAGGAAATGTAAGTAATCTTCTACTGTTTTTCTTATGATTTCTATTAACACAAATGAAGAAAATAGTGAAAAGTCATATGCAACAATTACAAAAGAAAGAAAAAAACATCCATTTTATGGCAAGGTAATGAGGCAAGCTCAAGGAACAAATACTTTTGGGGATTACTGGCAGATTATAATGCCAATATCTAAATCAGTCACAAACAGACCATTTGGAAACAACAAATGAAATGAAAAATCCCTAAAGAAATTGATCAATATTGAAACATACTCAAAAAAGCAGCAGAGTCAAACAATATGGAAAGTCACAGTAGAAACAGGAACGGAAAAGAGAATGGAGAACTAAGAATTGAACTAGATTTTGCTAACTACTACTGTATGATAAAACACTAATCTTAATGAGCAACATAAACAATAGGCAGACACCAGTGATTTATGCAAGGAGAGAAAAGGTACCTTATACAAATTTAGGTCAGATGCCAAACTGCTCAGTATCCCACTGACAAATGCATCACCAGCACCAGTTGTGTCAATGGATTTAACTTTAACACCACCAACCTTACCCTTAAATTCCTGCAATATGGGTTAATTACAAAGAGAAGGTAAATGATAAATAATGCCATAGTGAATTAATTCAAGGGATATCCAGTGGTTTGCCAAACACAATCACAACTCCTGCAGGATCCAAAAGTTCTCAATCTAAGGATGCATTTAGTGAATTAGTGTTTCATAATTAGGTGCCATTACCAAGTATCAACACGAAGTTCAATTTTTTGAATTTGATACTCCCGAAGCAACAGAATAAAGTACTGGATTTCTTTATGATGTTTTTGAGGCATAAGAAGGATGTTTTATGGCTCTTAATCAAAGTGAACTCAGATCTTAACAATTTACTAAGTTGGACCAGATAGCTGATGAGTTTTTTTTTTTCTGTGAACATTCTTTGAGAAATCATGTTTAAACCAATTTGCATTACTCATTAAGTAAAGTCTGGTAAATGCACATACAAATACAGCATGCTTAGGATTTAGGAACCATTAAGAAACTTCACCTTCATGGACCTATTCCATAATACGATGCTGTTTCCAGGAAAGCAACGAGATACTAGATAATGGCCACTAAACACTAGAAAACAACAGTTGATTTTTTCAAACAAGAAAAAAACCTAAAAATCAGAGAAAGGGATTTACCTCAATCAAATGTTGCCGATGTGTGAATGAGATACTTGCCAAATGCTGATGTCCGACTGCGTGTGAGAGATATTGAGATAGAGAGCGAACGAGAGTGAGAGAACCAATGAGAGAGAGAGAGAGAGAGTCGACTGAGATAGAGAGAGAGAGAGAGAAAGCACACGAGAGAGAGACGAGTCAACTGAGATAGAGCTCAAGAGAGAGAGAGGACTGAGATAGAGAGCTCGAGAGAGAGAGCACGCGAGAGAAAGAGGACTGAGAGAGAGACGAGTCGATTAGATAGAGAACTCGAGAGAGAGAGCGAGCGAGAGAGAGACGAATGGGAGAGGAGAGAGACAGAGAGGGCGGGAAGGAAAATGCGTGGGGGAGGAAAAGATCAGCCCGCGCCTTTCCTCACGCACTATTTTTTTTTCATTTTTATTTTTATGCTATACCGTCGTTATAGATATCCTTCACCGACGGCCATTGATCCGTCAGTATATATATCTACATCGATGGTTATGACAATTTTCTTGTAGTGATAGGCTTAAAAGAAATAAAAGTAACATTGTCCATGATGTTAGCATAAGAAATCTGGATACTAGTCCATGGGTTTTCTGATTTTGGAAAATGTTCATCAAATAAGGGGAACCTAAATCTATTTAATACAACTATACAAGAATTTGTAAAAAGAAGTAAGAACTGAACCATTGATTTAATTCAAGTTTTGTAATAGAGTAATTTCAATAAATGTTTAAAAACTGAATCCATGTGCAGTAGTACCTTTGTGAATTTATAATTTCACACAGTGCTAGGTTTTGGTGCTTCTAACATGTCACGCTGCAAAGAACAATTCTTCCATATACTCCTTTTTAGGTCCTAGAAGGCCCTAACTTTAGAGAAGCCAAGGGTTAAGCCACATAAAAGGTGGAGTCCACTCTCTCTCTCATTCACTTTCTCTCTCTTTGGAGTGATCAAAGGTGGACCGTGTTTTGCAGTTTTGTAATTATGATAAGGGCTATAGCTTATGTTTGGATCTAATTCTGAGCTTATGTCTTTTGAACTACATGTTTTTTGTAAGTGGGTGGAGATAATAAAACCATGTCATGATCGACTCAATTTTGAACTACCAAAATGAGCAACTGAAAAACCCAGTACCCAATAAGTGTGTTTTTGTGTGTGTATTCACACCTAGCATGCATTGGGTATAGTTACACGTACAAATCGCTCCCCCCAAAGAGAAAATTCCTAACTTCACCACTGGCCCTAACTAGTAGATCTTCTGTAACATTATGTGAAGTATGGTTTGCCCTTTCTAGAATAAAGTCTCAGAATCGATAGTTTAGAAGATTAGACTAAACGTGCATACTCTAGACTGGAAATCCATAGTTGTTCAATTTGCATCTTTTTCTTCTTCTTAACTGATTGGGTACATTTTGCTTTCAAATATATATATATATATATATATATATACTTTATTTACCTGGCCAAGGACCACATATCTTTTCGTGTAACTAAGGTAGGTGGAGCTTGCATTTCTTGGCATGCTAGCCAAATATTTTAAGAGCCCATATTGACATTACAAGTTATTTGGAATGCCATTTTATATGGCCTGGATTCATTTTTCTTGGTCAACAAAGTTGAAAAACCAATCCGAAAATGAAACCACTTTTTGGCCATCGGTTTCTTGATGACCGGCAGTTCGACCGTCTAGGTTGAACAGTTCAAATAATTGAGTTACTTCTAATATGTATTTTACATCTTAGCCTTTAGATTAGAATATTAATGATTCATTATCCATCTTACCTTGATATTATAATTTAAAGGCTAAAATGTAAAGTATATGTTAGAATCAACTCAGTCGTTTGAACTGTTCGACTTGGACGGTCAAACCGATGACTAAGAAAATGGTGGCTAAAATGAACTCCATTGTGGGATTGGTTTTTCAAACCTTGGTGACCAAAAAAAAATTAAATCCAGGCCATGTAAAGTGCCATTCCAAATAACACTTAAAATATGGACTCTCTATAGCCTCTTAAGATACTTGATTAAATCATATAAACGATTTTCATACATAAAAAAAGTCAACAAATTCAATAAAAATAAATTGAAGCCATTTGACATTTATCTTTTTTATTGTAAAAGAATCAGTTATTTGGTTTTTTTTTTGTGAAGTTAACTATTTGATTTAATGGAATAGAATAAACTTATATTTAATGATACAAAGTCACAAACTGAGTTTGTCATTACAAACTAATAACAAACTAGTTAAGAGGAGAAGCACAAACATCACTAATCTCCCGTTGAACCCATCTTCAGAGTTTTTTTGGTAAAACCGTCACATATCACCGCTTGCCACGAGTCTTTTGTGACGCTTCACTCAAGCTTTGATATCCTTTCGCACATTATATAGGTAAAGTCCCACCAACAACACGGCACAATCAAGCTTTGAATTGAACGAGTTTTCAAGCACAAATAAAGCTTTTATGTGTATTTCAAGACTGAAATGTCTAACAACCAAATTAATGTTACAACAACATGGTATATGTCTCTCAAGGGCTTCATCACAAAGACTATAAATCCCCTCGCCAATACTTTGTTTTTTCATCATTCATCACAAGCCCGTCTTGAGTAATATTTATGTTGTAAGTTCTTTGCAAAGAGGCCAAAAGAGAAAAACGACGGTTGACAACTCTCAGAAAGCGAGCTTCAATGCTAGTGAAGCCAAGGGCCAAGCTCAGGTGAGCAATATCCACTTATATATAGGTTCATTATATACTCCAATTCATCATGTGTATAGATATATGCATGCATACATGGAACATAATGTAGCCATGGGTTTCCATTCTTGATCAAATTTAAGTTTTCTCCTTGCAGGCCAAAGCAGATCAGATGATGGACAAGGCAAGCAATGCCTATGAATCAGCCAAGGAATCATGTCAAGAGGTTCATTTCATTTCCCAAGCAAAAGAAATTCTCTTGTTCTACCAATACTAATAATGCAAACAATCTGTTTGCTAGTATAAATTTTAATTGATTTTTTTATTGTGTAGGTTGGTCAGCAAATGCAGGCTAAGGCACAAGGGGCCACTGATGCTATCAAGGATGCCACCGGGATGAACAAGTGAAAAGTTCTTGCTTCATAGATGCTGTTTTGGCTTTTGATTTCTTGTATTTATATTACATTATATAATAAAATGAAGTTATCCATGTAACCTTATTCTCTCTCTCTCTCTCTCCCCAATAAGGACTAAAAACCCAAACCCAGCCTATGTAATATTGCAGACTGGATCCGTTTGGGATTGGGCTGGGCTGGCCCAAATTGCACCCTTATCCAATAAGGGAGGTATCCGTCCAATTTGAAAAGAGAAAAGATGCTTTAGTTTTTAGGAGAAACATAAAGGGAGGTTTACGTCTTTTACCCTTCTTTATTTCTGAATTGAATATTTGGTTTCTTGATTGGCACCAAAGTTGAAAAGATCATTCTTCTTGTTTTATCAAACTTTCAATGTTCTGTAAAGCTAGCCATGATTGAGATTAACTAAAGAGATCATCTAAAAGTTAAAAGTAAATTTACTTGATTTATTCATAATAGAGGTTAAGTAAACAACTAATTCGAGAAATTATGGGTACCCAATGGCCAACACTGCATGTTCCTATAAAAAGATATAGTAACCATAAAATTAACCTATGTACTCCCAAGAAGGATATATAAGTGTAAATTCAATGGAGATCCTGTAGTTTGGTAGGCTTACCACTTAGTTCCCTATTTCTTGTTTTTTGCTAAATTTCACTAGGGGTGTTCTTTTTTGGGATTTTGAGAGGGGGGAAAGTTTATCAATTGGATTTTGATTCCCACTAACCAAGAAACCCATGTTCTTTTTTCAGATTTATATGGAGATCAGGGAAAGTTTATTTTCCTATAACCATCTCCTACGCGGTTAATTAACTTTCTCACCTTGGGGGGAAACTTGCCAACACTTGAATGGGACAAAAACACCCCTTCTAATAATAGACTTTTATGGATAAAATGGTCATTGCCTTATTTACTTGGGAAATAAAAGAACATGGGCAAATGCACTTACCCCAGGTAAATAACTTACCGAAAAGTGAATGGGGCCTAAAGCTTTCATAAAGATTGGATTTGCTGAAAACGAAAATTGTGCAAATATGCTTAGAGTACATCTGGGCTCACTTTCTGCTTTCAGAAAATCCGAGCTCACTTTCACACCTTGATGGTGTTAACAGAAAATAGAATTGAGTGAGCAACATGGTTTAAAACCATTGTTGGCCCTGGTGGTTGAATCACTCAATTCTTTAATCAATTACCAATCTAGTTTCATTTTCCACCTAGCCCAAACCATAGAATTAATTAAACCGTTGACTAAGATGGTTGAATTGATGAATTGATGAATTGATGACCCATTCGACTTAGGCAATGGTTGGTGGGGGAATATATATATATTAGTGTGAATGCATGAATGTAGTGTGAAATTTTTTGGATTAAAATTACCCTCTATTTCTTTGATTAAGAAAGGGTATAAAAGTCATTTTATTATAGTTGTAGTGCTAGCTTTAATGGCTACTATAATGGTCATATTTGTCTATTTAATCCATCTCTAATTGTAATGGTTGAAAATATAACTTCAATTATTACTTTCCACCTCATTTAATCCCGTCTCATTAAGTCTTATACTTAAGGTATTAAATTCCATTTTCTCTTATTAAATCCTATATTTTAAGTTATTTTTTACTAATAAATGCTAATAATTAGATCTATGTTAATATTTTTAACAATATAAACCCATATATTGTAAAACTAACTCAAAAACAAAACCATTATTTATCTAGTTGGTGGCTAAGCAATTAAACCATCTGAATCAATTTGATCAACCTATGAAGTCATAGTTAGGTAATAAAAAATTTAAAATAGAAAATAAACTAGAAATTTACAAAAAAATGTAGAAAAAATTAGACACATTTATGATATTTTTATTAATCAAATTAAAAGAAAAGTGTAATAAACAAAAGTTATTTTTATTGTTAATGAAAATGATATACATAATATAGTACTAACCAAAAATGAAATATAAAAATTAATAATAAATAGTCCAACTTTTTGGTTAAATATGTTAAGCTTTAATGCCATAAATAAATAATAAAAATTAATAAACTATAAAAATACAAAAATGAAAAAAGTATGTATGACAAAAAGTGTGTATGGCATATCAGGAATATTTTTACACACAAAAATATATACAAAAGAAAATAAAGAAAAAGTTGAACACATCTATAATTCTATATTTACACTACTATTAAAAATATGAATAAGATTGTGGAACTTTCTTTTGACAAAAATCAAGGTTTTAAAAATAGACCCAGAAATAGAACCGCTTTAGCTATCAGTTTCCGGGTTAGCGGTTCAACCATCTAGTTTGAGCGGGTCAAACCCGTAAGATGTAAAATATAATGTAACGTTTTATTTTGACTTTTAGATTAGGATTAAGTTAAAGTCCACCACATATATATATTATTATGAGAGGGGAGTGTGAGACTTTGAGAAGGAGGCGGCTAGTTAAAGCTAAGAAATGAGAAAAAAAAGAAAGAGAAGAAAATGTTGCTGGAGGGGCCACTTTTATTGTGTAGGTTTGTCAACAAATGCAGGCTAAGGCACAAGGGGCCACTGGTGATGTTAATGATGCCACTGGGATGAACAAGTGAAAAGTTCTTGCTTCATAGATGTTGTTTTGGCCTTTGAGTTCTTGTATTTATATTACATTATATAATAAAATGCAGTTGTCCATGTAACCTTATTCCCCCCCCCCCTCTCTCTCTCTCTCTTAACCCCCTCTGAATTTTATGGTTTTTTATTAAAAAAATTAAAGACTTTGTAATTTATCTATATACTCACCCACAACCAATTTAGTTTCCTAATAATGAATGTAATCACTTCCCTATAGAACATAAACATCTTTTAACTCTAACCCATGCATCACATGGCTCCAATAGACTAGAGGGTCTTTCCCCTTCACTGTGGTAGCCTTTTATTTTAGATGAAAGTATCCAAAACGTTCTTACTTCCACTCTCAAAAAATAAATTAAAAGGTAGAGTAATTGATAACTCTATATTTTGATGCCTTAAGGGCATAATTTCAGGGGTATTTTAGGCCTAAGAATAGTCAAAGTGTCATTTTCCCAATTAAATTCAATATTGTGACCTCTGAGGGTCCCTGTGCAAATCCTGGGGAAAACTAGGGAAGTTTCAAGGCTGAAATGTAGTTTTTGGGAAGCTGGTGTGAATTCCAACTGAGAGATTGGGTGTTTTTGTAAAAAACTGAACATAGGAGGGCGCCTCCTATCTGCCAAACATAGATAGGCGCCCCTCCTACTGTATTAGCATACTCCCCTCTCCTTAGCAAACCCTATGACACCTCCCCACTCATTCTTTTCGCCTCTAACAAACCCTATCCGCCCTAGGCTATCAAATCTCCACCTTCCACTCTCTCCTAACCTCTAATCTCAACCATCCAAGCCTTTGCAGCCCCTCATACCCTTAGATCTCTCCCTAGATAGCATCATAGCCTTACACCACAACCAATCACCTTAGGGCACCACATCACACCAACCAATCACATTTCTCCAGCTCTAGGTGCCCAAATCTGCTCCCTCCATTCTGGGTGCCCAAATCTCAGCCCTACATAATATTGGGCGCCCTCTCCTTCTCTTCTCAACCTTAGGATCACCTTAGAACAATCCTAACCCTCCATTCTCAACCCTAGGGCGCCCATATTTCTACAAAAACCTAGCTACCGCCCCTCTCTTACTCTCTAATCCCAGTTTTGTCCACCCATCTCTATAAAAAGGACCCCAAGGGTCTTGGAAAAAGGGTTGGTCAATTCACCCAGTTCACAAGGCTAAGGTTTCTTGAGGAGTTCAAGGGTTGTAGAAGGGAAAGACGCCCAGATCTTGTCAGGAGGGGTTCCTACAAGTAGTCCAGCCAATCTACAACTACCGCCACTGGATTTGATCAACCATCCCTTTCGTCTTCTGTATTTTCTTTTATGTTATTTTTATTCTGGCAATCTTTTAGGTTGGATTCTGCCCCAAGTAAGGCAGAAGGCTATTCTTGAGAAGTTCAAGGGTAGAGGAAGATGAGAACGCCCAAGCAAGAGGAGGGGTTCCTGCTTGCAGTTCGCCTAGCCACTACTGCCACCTCTAGATCCGGATCCCAACCAGTTTCCCATAGTTTTAGATTTACCTTTTACGCGTGTTTTTATTTTCCATTCTTTAATTTCTAGTTTTTATTTTATTTCTGCAATTTATTTTTATCAAATTTAATTTTTGTTTTACTTTCTGCATATCTGAATTTTGGCCAAGTAAGACAGAAGGCCCAGCTCAAGGAGTTCGAGGTTCAAAGGATAGATCCAGAGACTGCTACCTCTGACCGAGTTACAAATTTTTTATTTAGTTTTTTTTTATTTCTACTATTTATTTATTTTTCTACATTTTTTACTTTCAGCATTGTTAGAATTTTATTTTAATGGACTCCAGTTTGGTTAATTAAATTTTGTGTTTATGCAATCTCAAATCTCGTTATTTTGTTCGGATTGAAGTACGTAATAATTTTTCCCCTGCTTCCTTGTGGATATGACCCATTTCTCACCACTAACTGTGTTTTGTAGTTATTTTGAGAATAAAAAAAATTATAAATATTGAAACTGGTGTTCCGAAGTGGTTAACGACACGCTTTCGGATACACCAATAATCAACTTTTATCCTAAAAATAATGCTCACTTCAAATAATGTAAGACTTTGGCAACCCCAGGTGTGCTCTTATCTCCTGAAAACCCCAAGATTGCACTGAAATTCCCCGGAAACCCTGGGAAGGCCCTGGCAACCCCAGGTGGGCTCATATCTCCTAGCAACCCCAAGATTGCACTAAAATTCCCTAGCAATCCCGGGAAGGCCTTGGCAACCCTAGGTGCGCTCTCTCGACAACCCCAAGATTGCACTGAAATTCCCTGGCAACCCCAAGCACACTTAGATTCTCTGGCAACCCCAGGCGTACTCACAATCCTTGGCAACCCCAGGAAGGCCCTGGCAAACCCAAGCGCACTCAGATTCCCCG